CTTGTATGAGCGCACGCGACGCAAGAGAGTTTTAGAATAGCGTTTCTCCGCCGCGACGCAAAAGCCCAAGCATCTCGCGCTTGCGACGCCACCAAGATACAGTAAAAATTTTTATTTTACACACGAAATGCTGTAACTTTAGAAAAAAAAAAAACGAGTTTTTTGGTCCGGAGTAGCATTTTAATTTGTTTAAACATGAGAACGCGACGTGAGCGGTTGAGCGGTCGTGTCCGCTTGCGTCGCCTCGGCAAGAGAGGTCTCGTGTACTGACCTTCGCACATCATACCTTCGCCGTGAAATGTTCGCGCGTCGCAAGCATCAAGTTGTCGGTAATCGCTGTCAAACCGAGTACAATGTCGTCCCGTATTGAAAATTGCAGTCGCGAGGATACCGCCGACGTCGCACTCACGACGCCGCCAAAACAGCCGCCGACATAATCCTGGAAGCCGCCATGTTTTTTTAACTGTGCTCGTCTTGGATTTAGCCAACTTCTCATCACGAATCCTCCTAGGAGAAGCGCAAAGACTCTTTGCGTACGCACGCTATTTCCGAGAAATAGCGCACGCTAAAATTGCGCACGCAAAGCGCAAAACCTGGTTTGCGTTCGGAGCATGCGCAGTGGCGACGACACTATTCTTTGCGCACGCAAAGCTTTAGCGTGCGCTATTCTAAAACTCCCTAATGTCTGTGGAATTCTGTAGTGGATTTCATTAACTGTATCGGCCGGGTATTGATAGCACGCAGAAGCAGACAGCGTCCGAATACACCTTTCGCTAAATTTTCCACACACCAAGGTGCATGCTACGAGTGTGGTTACATGCGCTGCACGTGCTGGCGTCTGCAGTAGTAATTCTGTCCTGAAGGAGACGCCTGAAACAAATATTGTATTGCACGCGCGTTCGCCAAAGCCTTTTTATGATTATTTACTTTGAATATTTTATACGGGGAAGGCAAGCCGCAGAGCGTGGAATAACCATTTAAACGCTCTCATCGGTGCTTGAGTAATTTAGTAATAGGTTTTTTTTTTTTTTTTTTTTTTTTTTTTCACTCGAGCCGAATTACACGGTTTTCAATTTAGGATGGTGTCCTTACATGATGGTCAATCATGCTGTCAGAGTATCGCCCACCTCTCACTACTCACTTCTTCCTCGTCATTTCTAGAACTGAGCTTCGTCGTTCTCTTTCGAACGTGGAAGGACATTTCAACGAGGCTTGTTTTCACCTCACACAGTCAAACATTTCGACATTTTCCTAAAAAGGCTTAAATTATTTCTACCTTACCCACATCTATACCACGAGCAACAAAAATAGTTTCTTTTGCCGCGCTTCGTCGCGAAACCCACTAACCTGCGTTCTTGGGTCTCCCCTTTTTCGGTAAATTTTCCACGAAAGCCACTTACATTTGCTACAACCAGTAGGTTACAGCAGCTACAACCCCCTAATAAAACATGAAGCTGTCGCCCATCCAGCCCTCGTCAAACTTGGCTAGGTACTTGTAGGTGCCTAGTAGGGGAGGGCAGTTAACTTTTGACCCCGGTTAAAGTTAACCGGCTTCGAGCAAACAGACTCTGTTTATCGCTCTAGCGAATCTCAAGCATAAACTTAATATTATGTTTTCTAATGTTTTTCTTCACTCTGATTAAAATATATAGGGTAGGAACATGTTATGCGTATATGGGGGGGACCTTGTGTCGCTTAGTCGGTAAAGAACAGGGGTTGAGGGGACAAGTTAGGAAACTGGAGGCCTTTATTGTGCTACAATTGCAATGTATTATCATACATAACTTCTTGTCAGTCACCTACTTTTCCGTTGTCCTTGAGTTGGACCTAATAAACATTTGAAAATCCAAGCCACAATTAAACGTACAGTTCTCGTCTTCATCCTCTCCTTTAATTATAATACATTGTCCGTGAGTATAAATGCGATAGGGAAGTATTCCAGCTTTCATAACATAGCTAATTGTGCCCCAGTCGCTTAGTGGATAAATAAAACTCGGGGAAATCCATAAACCTAGAGCCGTGTATACAGAGAGTTTGGTCAATGGGAGGCCCGGGCAGAGCCAGGGAGCGCACCAGATGAAGATAGGGGGCTTGACATGTTCTCTTGGCTAACCAGAAACCGAAAAAAAATCCCCTGGTGGTAATCGCGAGAAACAGATTTAACCTTTTTAATAATCGCGTAAGAGTTAAATGTAGTAACCCCTCATGGTTGAAAATAGGGTGGACGTGGTGTTTCGATCATTATCATGCGGAGAGGCGTAAGAAATGAATGTGCCGCTCGAACTCTGTTTTGCTCAGACAGGGTGTAACCGCTCGGACGGCAGATTCCCGGCCCTCGGCGCCTTGCGTACGGATTATGGTTATCGTTCCGCTAGTCGCACTCTTCCAACCAAGATTTTGGATGACCGTGATTCAAGCATCACGTGCACCATATTTTCAGTCAGCGAGAGTTACCCCGACTCACCCATTAACTTTGATTCTCGCGACCACCGCTAGGGTATTCTTTCCGGCTTCTCGTTGGCCACATTCGAATTTATGAAGACGCCTTGGAACACGCCCAGCCAGCTTTCGGCAAATGGCGCCTCCTCATTTACCTTCTATACTTCCCAGTGAATGGCTGAACTCTCTACATAAACGGCTCTTCATATACCTTAGCGCTCCACGAAGGCCTATTTCTTTCCGATTTGTGCCAATGTACATGTGCACCTAAGTACCCGTATATCGTTTCGGTGGGAAGCACCACAATACGAGTCATTATTAACGATCGAGCACAGCGCATGTAGTACACATTTGATACGAGTTCGGAGAAAAGATACCTTTCGCAGCGATCACAAAAGCCACCGGTGGGCTTAAATCAGTCAGGGTTTATGAGTCAAAAAGAACCACAGCCATCGCAGCTGTGTTATTGTTGTTGCGCTGCGCATCACGTGTCGCCATTTTCGTTACAATTAATATATCTACCGTTCCGTTCCATCGGTGTTCAAAATTCGTGCCCAGAGACAGGTCGCAGTAAAGTGGAAGGGCCATCAACAAATTTAAAATAAGATTCCGTCTGGATTAGACAGAACCGCCTTGACGCCAGGTACCGGATACTGTCTTTGACGCCCACAAAGGCCAAACTTGGGATGGCAGCCTGCATTCGAGAACGAGTTATCCACTCCCCTTTTCCTGACTTCGACGTCGGAGACTGTCACACTTCCCAAATGCTCCAGGAATGCTTGATGAAATGGTCAACCAAAATAATTGCTGTAAGTATGTAACGGACGTTTTTTCGTGGACATACATCTAGGAACACATTGTAAGTCTCTTAATTGAGAATAATTCGAGAATTTTTCGACTCACTCCAATCACCGGGACCATTGGGTTACTTAAAGATAGAACTTCTAAAGATTTGTCTCGTTTCCAAATACATTGAAGTATCACCGTGAACTGCGTGTGGTTACAATTGTGAATAACAAAGATGACCGTTGCCGTAGATCAATGAGAACAAAATGTAACGTGCGCTTCACTTTTAGCAAAGGGAGGAAATGATCAAGTACTGAAATGTGGGCTTTGTTAATTGTTACCCGAGTTAATTTGATGCCGTCCTTTGTGTACACCCTGTTGACCGCTTTTATTTGTTACCTTCCCAACTCTGTTCTATCATCGCATGAATCTACTTCGTTTCAGATTAAATCAAGACGCAGCCGACGCTACGAGGTAATTAGACCAGCCAATCAGCGTCAAAAACGCAAGTCACTGGGCCTCTTCTGTTTATGATTGAATCAACGATGAGCTGCATATGCAAAAGCTTGACGAACAACATGATGGCGCGTTTCTGATTCTGTCTGTCTGGCCTATTCAGCTCGTAGCGTCGGCTGCGTCTCGCTATAAGGTGAAAGAAAGTATAGTTTGTCGTCAATGAAAACCACGCTCTCACTACCTCTTATTTTACTTAGACGAAATATATAACGCGTATGCCTCTTTTTCAAAATTTATGATTGAATCGCTTCACAGAGTTACTCGCATTTTCTCAGCCCATTGTTGATTTTGCGGAGCGACGATCCTCAATTCAAAAAAGGCCTACCTCTCCGAAAAATCTCAGCGTACATTGGCTCCTTCATTCCTAGAACGTACTCTGATTGAAACAAAATTTCCGTATCTTCAGTAAACATGATTTATTTAAAGTTGTACCAAATATTTCCTCATTTTACACTATATTTGGCTCAACTGGATTTTTTCCCCCCAGTAGTACATTTACGTCATTTGGTCTTTAATTGTGTCTCTTCTTGTTTATCTTGTCGTTTTTACCCACACCTTTTTGTAATGCCCTCCGGGCGCTCAAGGTATTAAAATAAAGAAGTAAAAAAGTATTGAATGCAATAAAACCCCGCTAGTATTCATGCTCCAGTTGGATACCGTCCCTTCTGTTTACGCTGACAGTTCGTGCCGTTATTTCAACGGGCAAAAGCCGCCTGGAAACATGGAGGTAGAAAGAAGAGGAGGTGGCATGGGCCGGCTCAAGCCAGCCAGAATAGAAAATTTAAATCTGAATCAAATAGTAAAGGTGGCGGACAAAGGGAACACACCCAAGGGTGTCCTTTTCGTCCAATAGCGTCTTATGATTTTGTTAGTTCTTGGAATTGTTGGGGACTTGGCCCCACAGACGGAAAGTCTCCCTGCCTACATCTCTGATGGTATGATGACGCTCCCAGAAGCGCCAACCTCCATCTCTCAAAACCATGGTTGTGTACAAGAGAGAAATAGTGTATGTCAATGAAAAAGAAAGCGGGACATAATTTAGGAGTTCACTCGGAGTTAAAGCGAGTCAGGTAAAGAACATCAAGCTCGAAAGCAGAATCGCCGCGAAGCGAGTGGTAGTTGTGCGTGCCTTGTGTAATGCGCAAATATGACTTGATGAACTGAGTAGAACGACGTAGAGATGAATGATTTAAGGCCAAACATATGACACAGAACTTTTATTTCACGAAGGCCAACATATCCCGGATTCTTCTTTCCAGGTTGATTCTCAGCAGACCCTTACCGCCAATGATCTCTTAAAGAAGATACGAAGGTACGCTGTTGGGTTTCAACAACATGGCTTGAAGCCTGGCTCCAGGGTATGCACGCAACTCCGGAACACCATCGATAATATTGCCGCAGGACTGGCGGTTGTATTCGCTGGAGGGACACTTGTTATGGCGAAGACCTCCTACGTTGCAAGTGAGTGAAAATTAGTCACCAGAACGATATGAATGGCGGTCGTAATTGCAAGGAAAGTCCAAATGCTAGCCAAGCTCGTTTAATGTATGGCGTTTTTTTTTGTTTTTTTTTTTTTTCAGGGGAAGTAATATACATAATTCGAGACAGCGAATGTCAGTATATCCTTACAGACAAGAATAGCGCTCCAGATCTTCTCAAAATGACCATGCCGTCAACAATTAAGGTGAGTGCAGTCGACGCATGACAGATACACATCGCATGACAGATACACATGAAGAAAAAGTGAACACCCCCCTCTGGTCATCATGCGTTTTGACGGCTGTAACTACCCCACAGGCTTACTTAACTACCCACTGGGCTCTACCCATTGAGCGTTACCACCCTGTTGGCAAGTGACAAGCATGGGGTAGTCACGTTTTATAAACTCTTGAATTGAACATTCAAGTCTATGCAGTCGTTCAATAGTAAAAGTCACTTCAAAAATCTCAAAAAGTACTTGAAACTTGTTTTCTTCACGCGTTAGTACCATTTATTCAAATTTGAACCGGTCGAAATAGGCGTGTGGCTCAGTTCGCCTAAAAGAGTACAGGCAACCTTGGTAGGCATCTACTAAAACCCGAGGCAGATAAAAAGTATCGCGGTTGTCCTTTTTGGTTCGGTCGCGGATTTTACCATGTACTGCTAGTAAACAGCTGGCAGCTGGCGTCGTGCTCGAGGAATTTAACCAAATCTCTAGAAAAGCACAGGAAGCTACGCACAGGCGTGAGTTGACTGGAACGTTCGCCGGATGAGATACTCTTGTTGTCTTTTATTGTGCAGTTCAGTAAAGAGCATGCTCTCAATAAAGGTGTGATCGGTCAGTTTTTTCGTGCAGATCAGTTGCAAATGGTCTCCTCGGTTCCGCCGAACTTGCACGCCTGTCATATCCAATTGTTTTGCTTTCAAGTGTAGTGAAGTGTGAATCATTGAACACCACGACTGAGGGCGGACAGGACGAACGTACACAGATATCTGGGATCATCCTCGTGTATTTCAGTATTTCTCTGTCTTGGGATATATGATTCGCCTTCACTGGCTCATTTGGCACATTTCATCGAGCATACTCGATAAAAAATGCTTCAAACAAGTGTGTGTCATCCAAGGTGGAGTGCTTTGAAGGGTACTAGGATTTCAGGCTTTTCGGCACGCGTTCATTTTACCTATATAAAAGATTCCAAGTAAATTTCCAAAAATAAGGCGTTGGCAAACATACACGTGTTATTTTTTTTTTATTATTTTTTTTATTTTTTAGAAAAAGTACTGCTGGAGAAGCCAGCAGGTGCAGCGCAGAGAACTATGTTCTCGGAGTTCTTTGATGCTTGAGGCCGGTTCGGACACTTGCGTTTGAATGCGTTTGACAGCGTTGCGTCGAGAACCCAAAGCGAGTCACCGGCACATCTGTGCTTCGTATGAAGCGTAGAATCCAATTCAAGGCTCTTGGCACGCGATATAAGCAGCAGGGATGTCCTGGTTTCTCGCTGCCGCAGCGCAGTCAAACGCAACTATCTGAACCAGGCTTCAGATAATTTAGCATGCGTATTTCGCATTCGCTGTAGGTGAAGCTAGGGTGCCTCAATGTCCTTTTGTTTAGGGTGATGCCATCCTTTGTAGTACCCGATGCCGACAGCACGCGATCACGGGTAAAATACAAAGAAATCGACGAAGACAAAATGTCGCCATAGCACAGTCAGCGCCACAAACGCGTGCAGAGACACGCTCTTTCACGCGCTTCTGAACAAAAAAGAAAAATAAAAGCGTGAGACAAAATGGCCAAATGTCTCCACCCTAAGCAAAGCGCACATGAAGGCACCCTAGGTGAAGCACGGTGGAAGAAATGTGAGGTGAAGGCACGGGCCCGAAAACGGCAATTGTGCACTGTCCTCTTGGCGCGAGCGCGAGCGCGTAGAACGCATATTTGAAAGACACGCGCTTGAGCAGAAACAATTGTAGCGAAAAGAAGAAAACTGAAACAACGCTTCGGGGAGGACCGGCGGACCGGGCTTCGCTAGAATCACCTGCGCGCGCTCAGTGTACTCAACATTTACTCAACCGCCGCTGAAGTCATTCGGATATGTAAAAAGAGAAAAGAAAATGCATCAGCGTGTTCAGAAAGTTGTGATTGGAGAAATTGGTTTCGATAATTAATACAATTAATTAAACCGTCTTCTGTATACTTGAAGTGTAGGAGAGCGAGAAAACGAAATTAATCAAAACGTGACGTGTAGCGACTATTCAATTTGACTTTTTAACCTGCAGTTCACTTTTGCAATGGATTACATTAGCGGTACGAGCGCCTTCCTAAGGGCAGTAGAGGAAAGGAATATATACGGATAAATCTTGCACAGTCTTTTCGTGTTTATGCAAAATATGACAGTGGTCACCATCCTAATCGGTCACATAAAATACAGCAGTATATAAGCTGGTGGTGTCAACTAGTCGTGTGTATAGGAATGTACAGTTTCTATATCTCATGTCGTACCTTGTGCTGTTTGTGAACGCGTTCATGTATAATATCGTATGGTGTCTGTATGTCGCGTATGTGTGAAGTGTGGTATGGAATATGTAACACGTGCATGTCTAGCGAGGCGCTAAGACCACAGACTGTTGGTTTCTTTTTTCTTAGTTTGAGCGCTGTCCGTTAGGTGGCGCGTGTCGCGACCCAATTCAAGGAGTCGCGCGTTTATGTGTCTACTTATTTGAGTGAAAAACATGGAAGCGCTCCATGGCTCCACGGAGCAGTCACAAAGGGTTCGGTTCTCGTCCTCTCGTCCCAGTGGGATCAGTCCCATAGCCAGTTGAATGGGTGTTGCTTGCGGTGAATAGTGCGTGCACAGACGCGGTGGGGATTACCAGGGACTTGAAAGTGGATAACAACTGCTAACAGGTGAGCAGGAGCGTTGAACGATCGGAACCGACGCCGCTTGAATCGGTGATGCCTGGGGTGCTATGTTGCGCTTTTTGGACTCCCAGGAGACTAGGAAGAAGGAAGTGACGTCAACGACACAGCAAACGCAGATTGGGTGTTGACAGAAGAAAACGGAATCAACACCCAATCTGCATTTGCTGTGTCGTTGACGTCACTTCCTTCTCCCTAGTCTCCTGGGAGTCCAAAAAGCGCAACATAGCACCCCTGGCCTCGCCGCTGTCAACTGAAAACGCCGGATCACTTGCGACGAGCACGGCAAGCAGATTCTCTGTTCAATAAAGACATCATTTCATTTGTCGCTATACGATTCCTTCTTTGAATGTTTTCTGGCCGCGATGTAAATGCAGCCGCCTGCGCGAAAGTAGTCGCGGACAAACCCCCTCGAATGCCTCCCCCCCCCCCCCTCACTTCGTCGCCCCCACTCGTAATAGGTGCGGTGCCGGTGCTTCCAGACGCGTTTTGGGGTGCTTTAGTACGCACGGAAGGCAGCGAACGCGCGTGCGCACTTGAGAATCGTATTTTAGCAAAAAGCAGTCCAGCTCGCTAGGCCTTACTCGCATTGCTCCACTGTTGCTTGCCAGTCGCCATGTTGCTTTTGGGGGTGATCACTCTACATGTTGATTGCATGCCGTGTGACTACCCATGGGGTCGTTAGTATTACTAAGGGTGTTAGCGATACCAGTGACGGCTTCTGACTACCCCAAAGGGTAGACGACTACTCTTTTGTTGAGAGTGTATATCATCGCAGTCATGCTGATGGGCACGGTAAAGTTAATAATAATCTTTATTTGGACTCCTTGAGTCTCAGGTGGAGGGGCAAAAGGTAAACAGATTTACCTGACGAGGCCCCACCACCCTGTACGTTGCTCAGCAGAGAATCAGAACAGACTAGAAATGAACACAAGTAAAAACGACAATAAATCTTATCAAAAAATGTGTCACTGTACGAAACGAAAAACGAAACAATACTTCTACAGAAAAATGAATTATTAAAGTACAAACTGGCAGGGGAGCAATGAGCTTTCAAGCGAATTAACACAAATAACGGTGATCAGAGCCGATTATACGCTGTTCAACCCAATGCATAACCAAAGTTGTTAACATTAACGCGATGCTGTGAACTTCGGTGAATTTCAGGGCGAAAGTATATTTCCATTCGTTTTAGAACCCCTGCAGTCGAGCTTCAGCCCTCGCACTACGAATTTCAGTAGTAACCGGGTGAAATTAAATCTCACAAGGCCGTCTAATGATCTTTAATATTCAAGAATCATTTTGGAGCGTACGACATCAAAAGGGGGCGCGTTGCTCCTCTTTGGCAGTCAGAGCCAAATATTGTCACGAATGACAATTAATGAGCCGATAATAACCGAAGAAACTAAACGTTTAATGGGGCGAACAAAGGGAACTAAAAAGAACAAAGCAGAGCTTCGCGGGCGTCGAAGTCGGCGGGCGTGCCAGCAAAGTCGAACGCTGGGGCGAAACTGATTCCGCTCGCCATGCTGAATCCCTTATGTACCCTCGTGGGTTTCTGTCCTGGATTGTTCGGCGTAGAACTTTCGGTGCGTAGAACATTCGGAACTCGATCAGATGAGAATGTTCTCGGACTTACGAGAAGGCCAAGTTGAAAGAATAAATAAACGGAAAGTCCGCTAACTGGAATCGAACCTACACCTTCAGCGCGATAGTCAAGCGCGGTAACCACTCGGCCGCGCACGCGCTTGCTCGTCAACGCGCGTGGCACTGCTCCCCCCCCCCCCCCCCCCCCCCCTTCAAAAGCGCATCGTCTCGATGCTCCGTGCCGGGGAGCAAAAACAGCAAAACAAAATAATAACGGCAAACTACGTAGACTTGTGCAACACAATCCTATCGAGCGCATTACAAAACACAATTCACAGTCCTATCGATCGTAGTACGGCTTGAGGCAATACCACCTAGAAGACAAGGCCTGCGCATGACGTTTCGTTAGTAGATCCCCGACCCGCCCCAAGCGGCAAACACGCCGAAGCTTGACGAGAGTAGGGGCCGCGTCGCAACTACGTCGCATTCACTTGCGGCCGCAGCTGTGTTCGTGACTGCTGAGCGCGAGCTGATAGCGAGCTTCCAGTACATTTGCGACGTGCACGCGAACGCTCCCTCGGCTAGGAGCGCGAGCTAGCACGCGCTCCTGGCTTTGAGACGCGCATTTCTAGCGCGCGCGCTCGTTCTGCGGTAGAACGCTTCGATGCAGCTACCCGAGGTATAAACAGCGCCCTCGAAAA